TTTGTGTCCATTCGTTTTCCCTTATTTAACCCGTAATTGCAAAACAAATAAAATGAACGGTTGTTGTATTTTTAAAACGCAAAGTTGAACACCAAAATTTTTATTTGAACTGTAGGCTACACCAAATGCTGCGCCAAAAAAAAAAAAATATATATATATATATATATCGACGAATTTTCAGATATTAGTTTATGACTTTTTGCCCCTTTATTAAACATTTAAAATATTCACAAATTAATATGGAAAAAATGTAGATTTTACTGGTTTTCAAAGGCCAAAGTAGAACCTGGAAATTACATTTTCCCCGCAGTGCTGGAAAAGAGTTAGCCTATAGGCTATGATAAATGTGCCTGAAAAAATAGAGGCATTTTAATTATTTAGTAATAAACTATTGTTTTCCTAAATCAGTGTCGGCTAAAAAACATATCTCCATCTCCAACCCGAGAAATGCACCTTTCATATGGATTAAGTAATCAGAAGGTATTAGCTTTAGATTTGAATTTGTTCGTTTTAAAGTGGACATTTCGAGCTTTAGCCAGGCGATATTTTGTTTCAGTTCTCGAGCTCCAGTTCACGGAGACCATGAAAGCGCGCCTGATTGTTTTATTTTATTTTACAAAAGCACAACGTTTTCTTGTTATTGTGAGTTTACGCAAATAAAAGTAGTTGCGAATAATGTATGACCAGAAATAATAGAGTATTTTAAGTTGTTTCCACTGTTGATAGGAAAATGCAAGTGTTCCCTGCCATGCAGTGCGCGCTCCACAATTCGCACAAACACTTGGATATGCGTCAAAATCTTGTTTATTTGTGATAATCTTAGCCCTATTATTATTGTCCACCCTGTATTATGAATGAGATGTGACGAATTGCTTGGTTCCTTTTTTGGATAAAAGCGTCTTCTACATATGTTGCCTGATAAATGTTATAATAATGATGATAATTATTATTATTATTTGCGGACACGGACCCCAAACACACCGCGTCTTCTAAGTCAGGTGACTGTAAATGCGCAAAACCCGTTTCCATTGCAGTTTTGCGAAATATTCCTTTTTAGAATTGCCTGAAAAACCTCCTCATGCGAGCGTAAAAACTTTTTTGCGATAAACGGGAGTTTTTGAGAAATGGACGTGTTTCCATTGAGCGTATTTTCAATTCGCAATTCAATTTGCGCAATTTGAAGGGTAATGGAAACGCGGCTACTGATCTGATGTTCTAGGCTTAAAATACACATTTTAATGCATTATTCATCAGACCTCAGTGTTTTTAGCTCTGGATTTCTCCCTCCCGTCGTGCCCCGTCTCCAGCAAGGGTGAGGATTTTTGAATGTCTGCCTCCAGTTTTAAATGAATTGAGATACAGTGCATTAGATGTAGCAGGTGGAACATGTTCCTGTTCACTGGGTGGCAGAAGCAGTGTGCTCTGTTGGTTCGTTGATTATCCATCAGGTGTGGCTGATGAGCCCTGATCTTCACTACGGTAATTATTACTCTGGATAACTGTCGAACATGCAGGCTGTAATTATAACTAGACTGACAATCAACCTCCCTCTTCCATGATGGATGTGAGGAGAGATATTGGCCTGTTGAGATACACAGTGCTTAACACGAGGGAGGAGGACAGAGGTGATATGAGAAGGGGGGTGCTGATACAGGCATAAGAAGAGTGTGAAAGATGACGTCATATTTTAAAATGAGATTGGATGGGGCAAAAATCACTCTTTTTGGCGCACTGGGAAAATTGATGCCTGGCGCTGGATGAATCCTGTGGGATCACAGCTCCATTTCCTGATTTGAGTCACAGAGGAGCAACGTGCTCTTGGCCCAGCAAGTGCGGTTAGAACCAGCTGAGGAGTTTAAAGGAGGCAACAGGTGCATTTTTATTTTCAGGTGGAAAAACAAAGGCCCTTTTTTTTTTTCTTTTTTTTTTGGTGCGTTTATATCTGTGGTGGCAGACGAAAGGAAATGGGTGCAGTTTCAGATGTGTGACACGGTTTTGATGTGCAAATATAGGGACGTTTTTTTTAAAAAGCAGAAGACCTTGAAGTGGTGAGGTACTGTCATGTTATGACCTTATAGTAAGACCTTATTTAACTATAACTATAGTTTCTCTTATATCGAAATTTTTGCATTTTACCTACTGATTCCAATAGTAAGTTCTTTTAAGGCAAGCCAGTTCACTGTGCGACCAAAACTATTTGTCATGATTAAGCTACAAAAACATTTTAAAAAGGAATAATATCTGACAACATGCAGACACATCAATTTCTACATTGTATTGAGATAAAATGTTTCTAAAAATAAACCCCTCTCCATGGAAACACAATCAAATCATATCATTAGAAACTCTGAAATAATTGCCATTTTATTGTTTCCCTGTGAACCAAGTTAAATGACAACATGCTGACAAACCATGTGCTCTTCCCTGAGCTTTTCATGCTTAATTAGTTGATTTGTTAAATTTCTAAATCACTGAACCTGGTGTTTTTAGCCAGTTTATCTCTTGCTTGATATCATTCCTCTTTTAATTTCCATGCAAACACTGTAATCAGGATTTAAAATTTCCAAGCCTAATACTCCAGATGTCCTTAGGCATCTTGCAGGTTTTATGGCATTATACATTTTCCTTCAGAAACATTTAATTTTCTTAGACGTGTAGCATCATTGCAACATTTTAATGAGATTCAATGTAACTTTCAAAAAAAAAAATGGTCAACGAGGGTCAGAATGAAGCAGACACAACGGAGGTAATTTGCATAAATATCCTGTGTAGCAAATGTTTCCTTGTGCATCTTCAGTTGAAGTGTACAGAATTAGACTTGGCTAATTAGCATGGAGGCAGCATGCGGTTTTTAATAATATCCGTCCAGCTTCAACCTGCATGGTTTACTGTGAAATCTAACATTTTATGGAGGAATGTTTTTATTGAAAGTGTCTAGTTTAAAATACTAATTTCCTCTTGCTGTAAATCTCAATAATAGCACCATAAGAAAATAATTTATGTACTGGATCAATTAATTGAAATTTGTTCAATTAATAATCGAGAATCAATAATGAGAGGATATAGATAAACTATTGATTTATAAAACAATTTTCCCATTTTGACAGAACTGATTTAAAACAATTTATGCAAGTATTCTTACTGACATTTTCAAGAATTTTTAGTGGTGACCGTCCTAAATACAGTTTGATACTCTAAAAATAATCAAATGTTGCTGTGTTGATTCACTAAAAAGAACCGGCCCGCGGCTCATAAGACTAAATCGTCTCATCTGTATCAGTGTTCCACGCAAAAAAAGGTGTCAGTCTCTAAAGGGGACAAGGGTCTGTTTTGGGACCCATTTTATTTTCTTTGTAATATCTGTTATTACATTCCCAATGCTAGGTGTCAACTTTATGCTTATGAATCATACTGCCATTTATTGTTGTGCTTTACAAGCACTTCAATACTTGCAATCAGTGTTTGATATGGTACAGATACGTCTGTCAACTTTAACTGGTTTTAAAGATAAAACCAAATTAATGATACTTTCAGATTCCAAAGCTCTACCAAGGAATTTTTCTGATATTATATCCTCCCAGTCCCAGGGAACAAAAATAAAATGTGTTGCAAGTTCAAAGTACTTGAGTATTCTTTTTGATGGATGAGTAATCTTTCATTTATATTTTAAGCTTCATATCGATGTATTCATTTCTAAACTTAAGCTTAATTATTTGTATTTTTTTTTCAGAAACAGAACTTTATTTTCTCACTGCAAGGAAATATTTGGTGTCTGGAACCTCTTTAACAAAAAACTTTTTACAAAAAAAACTTTTTACAAAAAACTTCTGGATATTGTTTTTCCACAGTGCTTTACGTTGTATTACTAGTTGTAGCTATCAAACTCGTCGCTGCATTTTATATGATAAGTCTGAGTTACAATCTCTGTATCCTCAAGGTTTTAATTGGTATTATTTAATTTATAGGTAACTCCTTATTTTTCTCTCAGCTTATCTAATACAAATGCATACTATAATCTTCATTCAAATGACCTGTTTTACCTCAAAGTTCCTCAGGTCCAAACTGATCTTCAAAAATAAGATTTTAAATCTAATGCTTCTGTTGCTTGGAATAATTTACAAAACAACTTAAAGCTGACCATGCTTCCATCACTGAAAGGGTTTAAGTTACCTTTATTAGATTTGTGTTTTATCCCCTGGTAAATTCAGGACTGAACATGTTGAATAGTGCATTACAAAGTCATACTTTGACCCTCCTAAATCATGCTTGTTTTTATTAACCATTCTCCACTTTCGCATATATTGTGTTTTCCTTCCATCCTTTTCCATTACAGAATTCCAATTGCATCGCCTAATACTGCTTAATACTTCCAATTTACTCCAATTTTTTCTTTCAGCTTGCAGGATCTATGCATTATGGATATTCCCCCAGCAGTGCGGTTCAACATACAGCATTTATTCATAGAATTTTACACATGCATTTCCACTTTTAACATTTTTTTTTTTTTCAAAAAACATGAACATTTTTAATGAGATTCTGTTCGACTGTCATGATCAATAATGGTCTACAAAGGCCAGGACCAGGTAGACATAATGAAGGTAATTTACATAAAAATCAAGTTTAGCAAAGGCCTCCTGTCTGCTTCTTAAAAATGTAGTCTTAAAATGAATTCAACAATCCACCCAAGCAAAATTAGCATGTTTTAGTAATTATCCCAGCACCAACTGTGAGGCTTTAGAACCTTTTTCCATCAGCACTCAGATTTACTGTGTCCTGGTCAACATGAAATGCAACGATAATTGTCAAACACAAACATTTAAATTCAGATACAACTTAAAACTACTTTTGAATCATGAGGGGGGAAATCCTTAGAGTTTGAACATCATGATTGACTTTAGCCTGATGTTAGCATTCTTCATGTGCAGTTTTTCCGCATATCACTTCAAAATTTTTTCCCCTGTTTCTCTCTGTCATCGTCCCTCTCCTCTCATCTCCTGCAGGTCGAGTATCTTTTTTCTCATCCGGTTCTGAGAACCTCCACCATGTGGAGAAGGTCGTTTGGGGCACACGATATGCCATTACGGTGTCCTTCACATGTGACCCCGATTATGCCATTGATGACCCCTCCCTGCTGTAGGATCCATCTGGCTCAAAGGGACGGATGAGTGACAGGAACCCTAGGGGAAACAAAGGAAAATGCTGAATCGCTCTCATCTGGCACTTTCAACAGTCAGGTTCATGGCATAAAAAAACCTTATTGTCCCATTAGAAAAATGTTTGGGATTTTCTGTGCTCAAATGGGTTTTGTCTCTGTTTTTAATTTAAGAGGTGTTTTCAGGAGATTTACTTGAACTGCTGTCATTTTGAAGACACACATCTTTTGGGTTTGGAAGATGCTTCTTTACAATTGAACTCTCTCTTTCCTGGCTGTTCTTCACTCTTTAAAATCTTTTATATTATTATAGTTAAATCACTGTCTAGACAGGCAACACAAATGGGATGATTAAACGGGTGTATGTAATGAAAACAAGGAGTTGGGTACCCGGTTGTCAAATATCTCTGCTTATGTCACCAACTGAAAAAAAATGTCTTTGTAGAATTGCTTTCAAAAACTGCATATGCTTCTAATGAAATATGAACATATCAGATAACCAAAAGAACATTTTATTCCTTCACATATGTTTTTCTACTTGAATGAAAGTTTTAAAAGAGAACTTTTTTGATATCTTTGATAAACGAGCGTGTTGTAATATTCAAGGAGAGAAAGTTGACTTTATATGTCTCTTTTATTTGAATGTCTCTTTAACTTTCCAGTGCCAAGTATGAAATTTTGTATTGTGTATCTGGTGAGCTTTTGGTAAACACATTCCCTCCTTCAAGTGTGTTGGATATAATTACACTGGCTGAACTTGACTTTTACCACATGATGTCAATCACAACACACTTGTTTTGAGCTAATTGGCTTCTCTGCTTACAGGCCCAATGCCCAAAACTGGATGCTTTCACCTCTGTTGTGTGAGTTGAAGTAAGATTTAAAACGGAAGGTTGTTACTTCTCTCATGTAAAGCATAGGTAACTATTAAACTCATCTCAATAGTATGTTTTTCAGACCTTATGCTATGAATCTGTCAAAACCTGTGGTGAATTTTAATAAATAAACGAAGGACAACGCAGCATGTTTAACTGGAATTTTAGACACATTCTGAATCCGCTTATACATTTAATGCCTATTATTCAAATGCATACATCAGCTTTATTATAATAGGAAGAGCAGTCTCTTTAGGCTCCTTGTTTTTCAAAGTCTGCTAATATGTGATGATTCATGAATTTTGGCCGATGCTTAATTTGCTGTTCCTGTTGCATCATTAATAGTTTAATTGGAAATCTCTCTTGGTTAGTAATGTCCCTTTTTCAGTTGCTAATTCATTCATGCTTTAGCTACTGTAAGGCTGAATATTAACAAGTGTTCAAAGACTCTTCATAAAATGGTCGTTTTAGGTTTATGCAAAACAAGTCAGTTTTGCCAACAGCAATCACAGTCTTGTGTGTCATGGCAGATCCCCTCAGTGACTAGGCTGAACCGCTGATTTATTGACACTGTATACAATAGACTGAAATACAATCCGTCCATATCTTGTGGCATTGCATATTTATCTATGATGAGCTGCATTTACATGAGATGATGAGGTTGAACATGTTGGATGTGCTTCATGCGTATAAATGTGCTTGTTTGTTTTGAAATATGGGGAGGATGTACTGCGTTTTTAAAAAGTCTCTTATGCACATCAAGGCTGCATTTATTCAAATAATGGTTTTAAATAATGGTAATATTGTATTACAAATTGTTTTCTTTGAATATATTTTAAAATTAAATGTATTCTTGTAAAGGCAAATCTTGAGTTTACTGCATCATTACTCCCGTCTTCAGTGTCACATGATCATTCTGAAATCATTTTAATATGCTGATTTGTTGCTCAAGAAACCTTTCTTATTAATAATGTTGAAGACAGTTGTGCTGCTTAATACTTTTGAGGAAACAGTCATATGTATTTTTCAGGATTCTTTGAATAGAAAGTTCAAAAGAACAGTAATGCATCCTTTCTGAATAAAAGTATTATTTTCATAAATATTACTGACAAAATTTGTAATGCTATAAATGGACATTTTGGCTTCAGGTAGATGGATTTATGCAAGTGTAGGAGTGTCTTACAGTATGTGCTAATTTTTGTATAGTAGTGCATTAGTCCTAAGATATTGTAATCATTTTAAAACCTTTTTCATGTTTTTAGGATCTGTGTTAATCTCATTACATTCTTACATGAGTAATATAGTCCTGAAGCTAAAATTTTGCCTGATTATTTGATGTCAAGACGGATTTTTAAACTGGTATGTAAATCGCAGCTGATAAGCATGCCTTTTGGAAGAGAGGGTTTGCCAGTAGGTGTTATGGTTTTGAAGAACAGATGTTGCTAATTAAATGATGCGACAAAACAAATGGAGGACCCATTCGAGCTTGTAGTTCGACCACAAGCAATTCGCAAGAAAGTCTGGATAGATGGCTACAGTAACACAAGCTTCCCTCTGGCGATACAACATTCCTCACCGTTTACACTTAAGTCATGCAATTTCCTATGACTACCAACTTGAAGAGCCCAACAATAACACGCAAGGCGAGATTGTGATTTATTTAATTTCTTGAGACTGATAAATACAAAAGGAAATGTGAAACGTTTGACTGGCGCCTTCAATCTTCGGTTGTGCAATTTATTATTAAAGGGGGCTTTGTTTAATATGAGTGCTTTCTCTAAAGTGTCATTAAGTAAAGTGATACGCTCTCTCTTGACATCAGACTCAGTTCTTCCACTCTTGAGCTAATCTTTCCATGATAAACCATGTTTGGCGTGTTTTGCCAGAACGAGGCTTGGCACTTTGAGCTGCTCAAGAAATTGTATAACTGCGTACATGTATGACCCTGGTCTGAGCGTCATCCCACTCTTGAGTTTGATGACTGCATGAAAGCGTCAGGCCCCAGTTGTATGGCTTCTGTTCTTTTGTCTCCAGAGAAATGGAGGCTGTGAGAATCAATTTTATTCTTCCACATCCTTGGATCTGCCAGATATAGATGGAGTGAGTGAATATGTCCCCACTTTACACAATTGAAAGACCGTTGAGTCCTTGCTGACATTGAGAACCAAAATAGAACAATGCAGGAGTTCGTTCTCTTAGCCATCCGAAAGGATTATCTAAGCAACTGACTTGCTGCATTGTTAATCTTGATATTATTGATTAAGACCACAGATTATCAGCATGACCTTTTGTGGTATTTTTCTTCTTCTGGTGTTCCTGGCAAGTTTACATGGTTTCTATTTTATGCAAAGAATATTGAGTGTAAAGCGTCACTGTAGCCACCTGCTACACTTTTCTATATCAGTGTTTCCCATAAATATGCCAGACTCATTGACTGAATGCATTATGCTCAGAGTTCAAATATATGAATATGCATAGGCCAGTTTAGCTCTAAGCGGCAAATGCCACCATATGGATTGTGAGCTGGGAAAGCAATTTGTAGATAATTTTAGCCCAGATTGTCTGTTGATTCATTTCTTAGTGTACACGCACAGCTGAATGGATTACTGACTACTTAGTATTAGTGCACGAACGTCTCAGATTGGTGGACAATTTGTTGATTGGCTATGTGGAATCGCACTGTGAGTTGGTATCTTTGTAAGAAATTATAGTGTCATTGTGTATTATTGCAATGATATGGACCCAATGATAGATCTAAGTGTAGGTTCATTAAACTTATTTTTTTTAGCGTTGTACACTGTTTCCCCCCACACTAGATTTAAATCCTTGTCATCCACTTAATTACAACTCTATGAAAAATAATGTAACATTTCTGTGATAAGATATACAGCATTTTGACTTACCAGAAATATGTGGGAAAAGTTTCTCTTGGCACAATAAACTTTATTAATACTTCTGAAAGCCTGCATTTTTATCTGCACTGTAAATGTAGCAATATTTCTATTCAATGTTATTCTATTTTTTTATATATATATATATATATATATATATTAGTAATGAGTGATTATGCCAGTAGTGTGTTGGCTATATATGTATGATAGGTGTATATACCCTAACGTTATCTTCACATGCTTGTCGAAAGATCCTTCTTCCCACATCTGCAGTTGTAATGACAAATGTATCATATTCAAGTGCTGGAAAATCTACTTGTTTATGAGAATTGGTTAGGTTTATCATTTAGTCTCAGCAGGGGGTTGCACACTTGTTTTACAGTATGTGCACTTACGTGTACTTGCAGTATACTTAAGAAAGTACTGGGTAATATAAGGAAACTACATGGGTTAAGGTTAGGTTTAGCTATAGGTTCAGGGTTAGTAGTTATTACCCAGTTATTGTAATTACTATAATAAGTACATGGGGGGAAAAGGATGGTAAAATAAAGTGATACCCAACAGGGGTATCTCTTAGGCCTTGAAATCAAGACAGTCCTGCTTGGATGTCACTTTTCTGAACATGTTTCCATCTTCAAGTATTCAAAGGATGTGGTATTAGTGCACTGGATAAATTAGGTTCAAGCTAAAGTGGAAAATATGAATGAGTTGGTTGTTTTGTGAATGGAGGGGGAACAATTCTCAGCATTTCTCTGTAAATATCGTTCAGCGTTCAAATAAGGTTTTAGGTTATGGCCTTGACAAATATTTAAGTGGATATTGATGTAATGTGTGGAAAAGTAATATGTGTGATGGCAATGTTTCTTTTTTTCAGTTAGAAAAAGTTAGAAAAGCTTTGGAGTTTGCTTGTTGAAATGCTTAAAAAGAAATGAATTGCTTCTGAATAATAGTAATAAAAATGTCATGTCAAAAATCCTCACTGTTTTTAGATAACATTTGTCATTTCCATCAAAACCATCTGTTCCTTTTTTGTGTGGAAAATCTGTTGTATGAAAATTGGTGTGGTGGTAATGACAAGCAGGAGACCTAACTATTGATAGTTTTCCTGATTTCAACCAAATTTATTAATATTAGCCTAATAAAGGGACACGAAGCAAAAAAGGTTAATCTGTTTTTATATTATTTAAAGCTGGAAAGACGGTTTGTGAAAATCACCATAGGCCCTATGGGGCGGGCAGAGTAAAGTCGCCTAACTGAAGAATCATGCTTACCTTTACACGAACGGGTTAAGCTTTCCAATCTCTTCACTGCATCACCTTTAACTGCGCCATGACAAGCGTCTCAGAGTTGAAGTCAAACTGATTACTGGATGACGCAGACTTTCCCCAAGAGTACAAGCTCGGTGGGCGCTTTTTAAACGATGACGTGTAGCGGTAAAAACTCTTGTGGCGGTTTTTAAGATACTCTCGATAATTCTTGGTCAGGAGCGTGTAAAGAAACGGATTGATGCAGCTGTTGCTGTAGGTCAGACTCGCCACGAGGTAATTGATGCTCGTGTGCGTGTGTGAGGCTAAACTGAAGGGCTTGTGGTACAGCGGGACAAGTTGCCATATCCAAAAGGGCAGAAAACACGCCCAGAACACGAGCACTATCGTGAAAATCATTATCAAAACTTTCTGTTTTGGCGAGCGCTTGCTGCTTTTATTAACAGCCGACGTCTTTTGAGACTCCAGGTACGTCTTGGCTAGCCTGGTGTA